TAAAAAAATATTTATATATATATAATATACTATTTAGTGAAAAATAAATACACAAACTTAATTTTTCAAGAATAAGTGAAATACAAAATTTAATATAAATAATTAACAGAAATATTTACACTTAGTTAATGTGCGTGCACACACGCAATTATATATATAAACAAAAAATTTCATTGTAATTATAATAATAAAATATTACAAAATAATATTATAATTTTATTTTTATTAAGAGATAACCTTTTTTTTTTCCTAATCTGAATAATTTATAAAATTATAAAGTAAAAAAATAATGACAATCATGAATATAAAAATACTCATATTATAAAAACAATAATTTTTCATTATAATTTTAATTTTAATTTTAAAATATTACAAAATAGAAAAAATTTTAAAAATAATTTATTAATTGAACAAATAAAAGTTTTTAAATTATCCAAATTTTAAAAATATTATCAAACAATATTATAATATAAAAAATTATTAAAAGATATTTTTTTTTCTATTTTGGATAATTTATAAAAATATAAGTAAAATGACATATTTTAAAGTAAAAGATAAATGTAATATAAAGCTTTTCCATATTCTTCATGTTATTTTGTCAAAAAAAAATATTATAAAATATTTTTGTATTTGAATAATATTATTTCTATGTTTTAATTTACATTTGTAGCAAAAGATAAAATTTTGTATTTAAAATTTTTTTTTTAAAGATATAGCACAAATTTAGTCACAAGAAGAAGATATAAAAATTAATCTAATTTTTATACACTTTTATTATTTATTTTTCACAAATTCTAATTTAATATATTTATTCATATTATTTGTAACACAACATGTTTTATATGTTTTATTATCTAAATTACTACCTTAATTCTTATATATAAGATCTAATTACCCAATTCAACGAGATTAAAAAAGTAGTAAATTTAGTTTATAATAATAAATTTGTCATATTTATATATTTTTTTTCTAAAACTACTCTTATATTAATTTTTTTTCCTAATTAATACTCACATGTCTTTTAACCAATTAATACTCCTATTTACCTCTTCTAATTAATACTTGTATTTCTTCTAACCAATTAAAGTGCATATTCAGATATTCTTTAGTTTATAATTATTGTATTTTATCCAATTAAAATAACACACTTTAATTAGGGATATTTTAGTCTAAAAATAATTAATATATGAGATAATATGAATCAAGTCTTGAATAAATGAACAAATAATTGTTCTAAGTTAGATCTTATAAATAGGAATGTTGATAGTATATGTTATGTGTTGTTTAATTGTTGATATGTTGTTTAAT